CACAACCTACGTGCACACTTCAAACCCAAGAATACACTAAGGCAGAAGCTTGTCCACCCTATAAAACACCCCAGACAAAAACTGAGCAGCGTGGTACGGGCGGTCCAATGCAGGGGAAAATGCAGATTGGGGAAACAAAACACCCACTTCACAAGCGCATGGCGCAACATAAGAGAACAAGCCCATCGGGACAAGATTGAAAAGCCCATCTGCGTTTGAAAGACAGAGGCCCCTCTCTTGAAGATTTTTGGACCGAGAGGGCCGCTGGTTTGAAAGGGGGGTCCAAGAGGCCATCTAGCCCTTTCTCAACAGAGTGGGGAGGGGTAGGACACCCATCTCCAGTCTACAACACAGTCCTTTCAGTAGTTCCAAGATGGCTGTCAGGCCTGCAGCCATCTTTTTTTGTGGGTCTTTGGTCTGCCACACTTTCTATTATCCTGCCATGCATTTTCTATGGTGGGAAAATGGGAGGTGGGGATTGTATGGAGTTAGATGATAGGTAGCCATAACAACATTCTTTCTAGAAAGCCAAGGTCATCCTTTGTCTCTCTGCACCTGACCGGAACTGGAGGGTTGGAAGCTACCAGCATGCCAGTGGATGATTGGACCATGGGATGGGCTGGTGGGTGTGGGGATGGCAAGATCTTGAACTTTCAACTGGGTGGGGGAAACCGGGAAGCTTTCAGATTTGGGTTTCCCCAGATGCGCCAACGTGGCTCTCTTCATCAATTGGGACTTTGAGGAATCCTTTGCCTCGGACTCTGATTTAATTCTGGATGCTATTTGGAACCCTGACATTGGCTCCACACTGCAGTTAACTGAGGTCACAGGTAAACCTCCTAATGCTTCAAGGAGCCTCTAAAAAGGATGCAAATGCCCAGCTGTCTGCAAGGAGTAGAAATCTTTCCCTCCCCCACCATCCAGTCAGAGCCGAAGAAGCTTCTGGGATGAAAAGCGAAACGTCTTCCAAAGGAAAAAAACAAGGAGGTCCAGTTGCCTTTTGGGAAAAAAAATCACCTTTGGGACGGATGCCCTTCCCTGCTTCCTTTAGGGACAGGACGCATCACGGGGTCGGCCGTGTCTTCTTACGGAAGGAGAAACGAGCAACAAGGTGACCCTGTCTCTGCTCCTGTGTTAAGCCATGCGCCCCTATTTAGCAACTGCCAGAAAGACTCCCCTCCACCACCATCCCCTCTGCAGGCAGGGCGCACCGTTTTCCGTTCTCCTGAAAGAGTTGTGTTTTGTGATTTCTAAACTCCCCACCACCACCCCGGGCGCTCCATGTGTTGCTTATATAAAAGCATTATATAATACAATTGCATAACAGGTGTGACAGATTTCACGGGAGTGCCATTCCCCTCATTTAAACCGGCCCCGCCTTCCCTGGGTTGTGCCTTATTTAGCAGGAAAATAATAATTGCTCCCCCATTTCCGGGAGGCATTCCGACATGCAGGGCTGCTCCGATGCCGAGGTTGAAGGCGTGCATCCTAAATTAGCCGTTGCAGATCGCAGGAGTTGCTGCTACAAGAGGGGAGCAAAAGAAACTTCAAATCCCAAATTCAAGGAGAGAAACAATCTGGGCTTAAGGAGAAACTTCCTCATGGCGAGGACAGTTAATGAGCGGAATGGCTGAAGTGGTGGCTGCTTCATCGCCGGAGGTTTTTAAGAAGAGGCTGGACGGCTATTTGGAATGGAACCTCCTGTTGGAGCAGGGGGTTGGACTAGAAGACCTCCAAGATCCCTTCCAACTCTGTTATTCTAGGGTTCTATTGGAAGGAGGGAGGGCAATGCTTGGAAACTAACCAAGGAGAGAAGCAACCTAGAACTGAGGAGAAACTTAATCCAACAGTGAGGACAATTAACCAGTGGAACAGCTGGCCACCAAAAGTTGTGGGTGCTCCTTCATCACTGGAGGTCATAAGAATAGAATAGAATAGGAATAAAATAGAATAGAATATAACAGAATAGGAATAAAATAGAATGGAATAGGAATAGAAAAAGGAATAGGAATAGAAATAAAATAGAATAAAATAGGAATAAAATAGAATAGGAATAAAATAGAATGGAATAGGAATAGAAAAAGGAATAGGAATAGAAATAAAATAGAATAGAATAGGAATAAAATAGAATAGGAATAAAATAGAATAGAATAGGAATAAAAGAATGGAATAGGAATAAAAAAAGGAATAGGAATAGGAATAAAATAGAATAGGAATGAAATAGAATGGAATAGGAATAGAAAAAGAAATAGAAATAGGAATAAAATAGAATAGAATAGGAATAAAATAGAATAGGAATAAAATAGAATAGAATAGGAATAAAAGAATGGAATAGGAATAAAAAAAGGAATAGGAATGAAATAGAATGGAATAGGAATAGAAAAAGAAATAGAAATAGGAATAAAATAGAATAGAATAGGAATAAAATAGAATAGAGTAGGAATAAAATAGAATAGGAATAAAATAGAATAGGAATAAAATAGAATAGGAATAAAATAGAATAGG